ATATCCATGAGATGGAGCTTCTAGTTCATTTGATATATATAGAGAAAGAATGAAAGAAAGAAATACAAAATTTAAATAAACAGACTGGTAGTTTCAGACCGTTTGAACAATTAGAGTTTAAAAGATTTCAATTTCAAATCCAAACCAACAATAGGTTTATGGACGTTGGGAAAAAGTTCAAATTTTTGAAATTCCAGTAGTGTCTATAAAGAATGGACACCTTCCTTCTTTGCTTGGTGACTGTTCGAGTTCCATATAAGGGACTCTCTCCAACAACCCATAGACACTTAGTTTTTTCCTTCTCTGTTTCTATTATGAATTTCCTCGATTAAGGTTCTAGTTCAGAAAACAACTAAGGAATACATACTTAGTTCTGTTTTCAGATTATAGGCATTGTATCCTGAAGATATAATTTCCAAGAGACCTTTCTGTGCAATAGAGGGGAAATTACTATCTTAAAAAAAATATCTTGGATGCACCTTGCCTTGTTTGTTCTGTCTTTTTTCTTTGTTTAATCTGAGAGTCTTTTTCATATACATTTTAATTTTTATATAACAATATCTATTCAATTTCATCCTCTCAGTAGTTTTCCACTTCATCTAGCCATGTTGCTTCTTTGTCTGATTATGGTGCACTCACTACTCGTCTCAATGAGCTTTTTGATCTTGTTCAATCTCTTTGTGCTGCTATTCCTTCTTCTCCCGCTGCAACATTAGCCAATTCAAGTAATGTTGCATGTGTGGCTCAATCTTCTCAACCTTGGGTCATTGATTCCGGAGTTAGCTCTCATATGTCCAGTAATGCATCTCTTTTCACTAATTTAAATCATGTTACCCATAACATTGTTCTTACTGATGGATTCTCTCGCCCATGTGTGGCTTAAGTAGTAAAGTTTTTTTATATGATAATACTTGAGAATATATGCAATCCGTTTGTCCACTCTTTTGTGTTGATCGTGACTAGACTAGTTGTGCGCACCGTCTCAACAAAATTGTGTTGTTGAGCACAAGCATCATCACTTGTTGGATATTGCTCATACCTTATTGTTTAATATGCACGTTCCTAAACACTTCTGGGGGAACACGGTGCTCACTTCTTGTTTTTTGATTAACCGTATGTCCTCTATGGTTTTAAAAGCCATTCTCCTTTCTCCATGCTCTATCCTGCTCGATCACCATTTCTACTTTACCCTCTTGTGTTTGGCTGTGTGGCCTTTGTTCATATTCTAGACCCTAGTCAAGATAAGTTGTCTCCTCAGGCTCGAAAGTGTGTCTATTTAGGGTACTCTCATATTTAGAAAGGTCATCGATGTTATCATCCTAAATCTCATCGTTATGTTGTCAATGTTGATGTTACCTTCTTTGAGTCCATCTCGTTTTTTTTCGGTCACCTGGTTACCAGTTGTCCCCAGATCTTATCTCTTCCTATGATGGGGAGTGTTTCTTTCCATCTCCCATTGTTACTCTTCCAGTTCCTTTTGAGTCTTCTCCTTCCTCTCCTCCGTTACCCATTGAACAGTTTTGGAGTCCCCTTTGCAAGTGTATTAGCAATCTCAAGCTCGGTATGTTGTTTCTTATAGCCTGATTAATTAACACCCTGACACCTTTCTTGCCTAATTCTCCTTTTCTCTCTTCTTCTCCAACTCTAAGCCGTAATTTCTCATCCTTCGGATTCTAAGGTGGTGTTTGTGTTTGGCAACAAGCAAAAAAAACACTACAAAAAGTCAAACCCTTCTCAATATTTTTTCGCACATCTTTTCGTAAAAACCCAAAAACCACTAAAAAATTAATTCTCAAATATCACCTAACTACATCAAGCCAAAAATGATACTAAAAATCAAAGAACTAGATGGTAGAATCTAAAAGGCGATAAAGTAAAAGCATTTGAGGACAAAATGTTTAAAGTCTTTAAGAACCAAATGTAGAGTTTGGAAGGTGACACTAATCACAACGGAAAGATGATGCATTAAGAGAATATCGAAAGAAAGTCCTTCAAGGGTCCAAGGGAAAAAAACCATGTATCTAAAAATATATGGTGGTAGAATAACGAGATATGGTAAAAACACAAAAAGAATTTTTTTTAAAATGGCAAAAGGATAAAAATGACAAAAATTTTAAGAGGTGAGATGGCTAATAAGAAGGTTAAAAAAAAAAAAAAAAACTACAACAATCTTTATACAAGATTAGATAGTAAATATGGCGAACTTATTAACTTGAGAGACAGATAAACAACATAATTTAATCAGATTAATCGTATAAAAAGTGAGGATTCGAGGGTGTTAGTGAAGGATGAGGAGATTAAGAAAATGTGAAAGTTATTTTGACAAACTGTTAAATGAAAAACATTTTTTTTGTAGAAAGCTTAGAAGGAGAGGAATACAGTAATCTTGAAGGAATTAAATACTACAAGTCTTATCCTCAAACGAAAGAGTTTGAGGTGGAATTTGCATTAAATCTAAAGAAGAAGAAATCAGGTAAGGCACTACTACCAGATTGTATACCTAATGAGGCTTGAAAATGCTTAGGTAAGGAGAGGGTGCCTTGGTTTTAAAAATTATTTAATAATAATTAGGAAAATGTCTAATGAGTAGAGAGAGAATATTTTAGTACCTGTACACGAGAAATTCAAATTTGCAACAACAATATTAAGTTGATGAATCTTAAAATGAAATTGGGAAATATGAATCTTAAAATGAAATTGAGAGAGTGATTGAGCATCACCTAAGAGTCGCAACAACATTAGATAATTAGTTTCGATTCATGCATGGTAGATAAACTATTGAAGCAATTTACTAAGAAGATTAATAGAGAAGTATAGAGAGAAGAGGAAGAATCTTCATATGATTTTTATAGATGTACAAACAAAAGAAGATAAAGAGCCTAGAGATATAATATGATGCGTGAGAAAAAAACAGAGTGACCAAAGGGCAAAGGTTATATTGATGCAATAAAAGACATGTATGATGGGGTTGTGAGTACCGTTCAATCATCTAGGGAGAAACTAGTGAATTTCCAATCATTGTAACATTGTAACATTGCAACAAGGGTTAGCTTGGAGTCCTTGAATGAACTAACTAAACACATTCAGGATGATGTCTGCATGGTGTATGTTGTTAGCAAATGATATTGTTCTAGTGGATGAAACTAAGGGACGAATTAATACTAAAATAGAAATCTGGAGAGAAGCACTCTAGTCAAAAGGGTTAGTACTAAATTTGAATATATGGAATGAGTTTGCGGCACGAGATTGTAGAGTCAAGTGCAAACTAGGTTGGATTGTAAGTCACTAACCAAGTCACTAACTAGATTGGAGTGTCTTGATATTTATGCAATTTGTGCGGTTGGCATAGTTGGATTGATTGATTGATATATTTACTTGTGGCAAATTGATTCAATATTAGTATTGAGTTTACACTTTAAATTGGTTATAAATTCCTTTGGTTTGGCCTATTCATGCCACCGGTTCGGTTATAAATTCCTTTGGTTTGGCCTATTCAATTTGGAAAATTTAACTGTAACATTATTGTGTTTGAACCTTAAATTGGTTATTTACTTCTTGTGTCTCCATTCTTTCAATAAACATATGCCTACACTCAAAAGATGTTGGCAAAATCTATGCAAAAACATGCAAGGAAAACATACAATGATGAATGCAAACATGAAAGTGTGTGGGTTTTACAGAAAACACAAACTGAAAAGTATTCAAAAGTTCATGTCCAAACGCTTACTCAGATTTATTTTTTTATTTATTTATTTTTATTTTTTATGTAGGTGGGAGTTGTGTAAACCTTGAAATTCTATGGAGGCTGGGAATCCACACAGTTTCTGATGTGTTTGAAACAAAATAGAGTTGCCCTTTTATAGTTTTTTGTATAAAATGAAATCTCAATTTCCATAAATCAATGAGCTGCTCGAGCAGCCTTCAAGTGGACTTTGATCAGTTCACTCTAGATCTTTGCAAGTCAGCCAAGCCAGGATCCTGCTCAAGCACCCATCAAGCAGGTCTCTTTGTAAAACTGTAGAACCTGCAGACTCAAAGCTGCTCTCTCTCTCTCTCTTTCTATTCTCGTTCTCACTCTCTTTCTATTCTCGTTCTTATGTCTTCTTGATTTAACATCCTTAATTATCCATCTCTCGTATTTTAAGTCTTTAATCCACCCTACCAATTTGGATGTCAACACTATGTCAAACTGAAGGAGAACACACACACACCATTTGAAATGAGTCCAGGCCTCCCAAAAATGGCATTCTAACTGGAACAGCTGTAACTTTGGTCTCAATTAAATCTTCATTGGTCCCTCTAAGATATGTAATCATGCTTCTTGATAAGATGGTAAGGACCATTCTGTAATTAATTAATGCTCACTGGACATGTGTCCATGATGAGTTTGATATATATTTGCCTGACCATAGTATACAGAGACATGTCCAACAGAATTTCAAACTTATGTCTTGCCCTTGTTCAAATACTACAATCACACTACTTTGTTGTCTATTAGCTTTTTCCTGGAGAAGAGGACGATTGAATACCATTATGGACTGTGCCACAGGCTTTAATGATCTGAATTGTGTTGCTGTGTTTTCACTCAAAATTGTCAGAGACATGTTCACATCATCCTTTTCTTTCAATGATTGGGTTTATCTAAAAATGTAAACTCTGTTGTCACTTAATGCTTGATCACCACCAGACTGACCCTCAGCTTATTCCAGTACTATATTAGTAACATGAGCAGTCAACTTTACACCAATGTATGTCAACATCTAACAAGAAATACAATTTCAGGATTCTACCACAGCAACCAGCATTTTCGTCAAGAGATCAAGTCGCACAAACTTGAAGAGCAAGCAAACAACAAATAATAAATGATTAATGTAAAGTAACATTACCGATATGCAGAATCTTATGAACATATATGACTATATGTAAACATTCATGCATGTAACTAAAGATCAGCAAAAAAGTGTTATAACTACAGCCATGTGCTTTATAGCAAGTGATACCTGAGTGCCACTGCCATTGTCACTTCCATTCCTAGCATTCAAACCAATACTTGCGTTGTCATCCTCGTCACTGCTGCCAGTGTTATTGTCAGATCCTTCAGCACTTTTTGACTTTGAATATTTTTGAGTCCGTATCCCACTTTCACTTCCACTTCCACTTCCACTACCAATAGACTGATGACAGGATGAGAAATTAATCCAAATCACCACAACAAAACAGTGTCCATTGGGGTATAAATATATTATTTAAATGATGAAAACAGAAAAGCTAAACCAAACTGACCATTTTTAGTTCAAATCAAGTTCTGACTTTTAACAAGAAACAAATGCCCACTTTTCATAGGGATAGCTCAACAAATAATGCCCACTGACATTATGTTTGAATGGAACTACCTCATTTGAAGTGCAAAAGGTTGACAAAACATTCAAATATAAAATGGAATCAACTAAATTAACTCACACTGTGGCACTTCCTCCAAATATGCTGCCAGAGGTTTTTAAGCTCATTCTTTCGAATAGGCTTCACTAAAAAGTCAACTGCACCTTTTGATAAGCACTTAAAGACTATACCCATAGAATCGTTAGATGACATCACTGCACAGAAAACACATTAGGTGTAGTACTTAAAAGCATCAATGCATTAAAATGTAAATAAAAAGAGTGTTACTAGAAAAAAAAATGTTCAATATAAGGAATATGAGTAATACTCACTAATCACTGGAACATTCTTGCAAGTTTTGTGGTTCATAATCTTGCATAAGAGACCAATGCCCGATAAAAAAGGCATGACCACCTCCGTTAGAACAAGGTCAATGTGATTGGCTAAATCTTCCAAGATTTTCCAAGCTTCTAGACCATTTGCTACAGAAGTAACTGCCACAATCAAATCAATATTAGGTCATTGCAAAAAAGAAAGAAGAAAAGAAAAGAAAACAGACGAGGAGAAAAAGAGGCCAAGCATTCATAAGACAAAAGATTTTGCAAATTCATAGAACAAATAAGAAATAGGTTTATGATTTACAAACTTTAAACGCCATAATCCTGAAGAAAAGATAATTTAAAGATGTCAATTTACAACTATCTATGAGTTAAAATATATAAAATGCAATCTTTCACCTTCAATGAATAAACGTGTATGTACAAGTGTCTCATATATCTGGCAGGACTGTAACATCAACAGGTTGGCCTAGTTGTCAAAGCCTAGGGCTTGAGGGTGTGCTTCCTCCCAGATCTTAGGTTTGAAAACTCCTAGGTGCAAACAATTTCTTGGGGCCAGTTCATACATGGTTTTGTCCTGGCTTTAATTGGGACCCTAGCAAATGGGAGATGGGATTGGTCCCCTGGATTAGTCAGATCAATAGGCCGGATACCGAGTTAACCAAACCAAACCAAGCCAAGCCTTAAGTCCCATCAAATGGGGTCGGCTGCATGAAGCCTTCTTCTCCACTCGATTCTATCCAAGGCCATTCATAGGGCTGGATACCGAGTTATCAAAAAAAAAAAAAACATATCTGGCAGACCACGCCTCTCCACATGGGTTAGTTGGTGCCATGTGTCAACCTAGTGAGAGATGTGTGGGCCAATAGTATACTTCTACTTACCCACCTTTGAAATAGTGCTTAGAAAAAGATTAAGGCACACTCAATGCCTGCTCTAGCACTCATTGGCCTAGCCAAGGGATCGAGTAATCCACTGATCGATCATGAGGTTCTACACTCAATAAACCACCATCCGATTGAGAGACTCTTGGGCTACCTCGCTTCACCTCCACCGATCAAAATATAGTCCTGAGCGATCCATCACAAGCAAACTTCCAACCCATACTTGGTTTAGGCAATGCTGCCAGATAAACCTAGGTTGGAGCTAAGACTAGGTTCATCGCTTTAACACTCGTGGAGTTATGTTGTGGCAGACATCCGTATCAAGCACCGACACTCTGCAACACTCCTAAAAACATGTCTGATAATATGTCTTAATTAAAAATTTAAATTCATACTTATCTTCCTCTTTTAGCTACTTCATCTTAGCCTTTCGACCCCAAGAAATTTGTTCCCTATACATGAATGCCTCAATGTAATCTTTAACTTGTTTCTATACTTCCTAAGACATCATCTCAAGATCTTTCCTAGACTCAAGTCCATCCAACTCATCAATCTTACTAATATTCTCATTCTTGACCTCTTTCAAATCCCCAAAGATATCCTTGTTCCAAAATTTAAATTTTCCTCTAATCAATTTGAGCTTTTAAAACCCTCCCATCCCTGTAAACTACAATTACCACACCAATCCTCAAAATGTTTCTTAAATGAGTGATGTTCTGACCACATATTTTCAAACCTAAATGATGTTGGACCCCATTTAAAAGGATAGCTCTCTAAACCATTAAACAATGATTAGATACTACCATTGGAAGCACTTGTGCCTGAACATTTGATCACATAAAACGAGTATTCAGCAGAGGAGGATTAATGATTCACACCCCTAATACAAGCATCAAGCCCTTGTAGTGACCTTAATTCCACTAAGCTTTTTAGAGGCTAACCCAATAACATTGAAATCACCTTCCTCCACACAACTAATTAGGAGAGCAGAAGCAAAACAATCAGGCTGATTCCTCCCACAAGGCACCATCTCAATCTCACTATTGGATCCATATCATTTATCAGCACTCCTAAACCTAATAGACAATGAAACTCCCCCAAAACTATCTTACTAATAGAAACCACCCTCTTATCCTGAATAGTTTTTTTTTAAAAAAAAAACCTGATGTGCTACATGCAGGTAAAACAACCCATCTTCTATATCTCACCACCAAAATACTCTTATTCAATTTCATATCAAACTTCTCAATCTTTGTTTCTTGGAAGTTGACAATATCTAGACTATTCTTTCTCAAAACTTCTTTAACAGCTCCTCTCTTTCTCTTGGGACCTAAGTCCCCTCAAATTCCAACTTACTACCGTCATTAAGAACCATCAGTAAATCTAGCCTCTTTCAGCAACCGTCTTAGTTATTCCACTAATTAGGTTTCTCAACCCCTTGACCCCCTTCTGTTGCTACCCTCAACTTACTTGGCTTATTTAGAAAACACCCACTATCACAATTTTTTTTTCCTTTTTTATCAATGACAAACCCATGCCATCTACAAATTGTCTCATTTGTTTACCCTTCCTCATCAAGAGAAATGAAACATTCCCCTTTATCATTTTCAACAATTTGTCTGTCATATACATTAATCATCCCTCCCCGGAAAGAATAACAATTTCTCCCCTATAATCAAAAGATGTTCCATTAAAAGCATTCCTCTTATGGCATTTCAAATTAATGCCAATACTAGGGCATAGTAAACTAAGGGCCTTAACATGAAACTTAGGATCATCCCTTCCCAATAAAACTTCTCTCTCAACAAACAAAACTCTATGACTCTTGGTTATTCCAACCTCGCAAGAGCTAAAATATCCAATGTTTTGTGAAAAATGATTGAAGCCCCTTCCATGGCATTTCAAGGTTGTGGCTTCTTATCCTAGAGAAACCATGTGAAATGTTGCAAAACAAATGTATGGTCTTCCATGAGATTACGGCCTTGTTGGTTTGTGTTTTAGAAAAAAAATTCAGAATTTTTTTTGAAAAAATAGAAACTAGTTTGATTAAAAATAATATAAAAAAATATATTTTAAATTTTTAAAAATTATTTATGAGCTCCCAAAAGAAAAATTATATAAAAATGACAAGTGTTTTTGATTTTTTTTATTTCTTTCACCAAATTAATTTTAGTTTTTTAGAAAAATTTATGAAACAAATTTTTGAAAACCAAACCAAACATGGCCTACATATCTTATGGAGTTGAATTTAGGTCAAATTTTACTTTATACAAATTGGGTATGAAATTCTCCTTCAAAATATTAATATCCGCAGGAGCTCCCTCCATGCCTTATCTCTCTATACTCTTTCATACCCCCTCTTGTGGACTCCAATCCACACAGACAAATGATCTGAAATATCTATCTCATAAGCCTTGCAATAAAGATTATTAATACAAAGAACAGCTTCATCGACGACAATAAACATAGCAAACATTTTATTTTATAAAATGAAATCCGTGGATTGTAAACTTAAACCATCCATTTTACAAAATAAAATACGATTTGTTTCATATTTATAGTTGTCCGATGAAGTTGATTTTTTGCATGAAAACCTCTGCTACAAGATCTATGAGATAGACGGTTCAGAACATATGTGTGTGTTCGGGGCGGCGCCCATGAGAAGGGTATGGAGGGGAGGAGCTATCCCTAAATATCCCATAAAGACCATATCAATGCTAGCATGATGATTGTAGTAAATGGGGTGCAAGATCCATGAAGCCTACTGTACCATTTCCCTTGATCAAACAAGATAGTAGGAATAAAAAAAAAGGAAATAAATAAATAAATAAAGAAGCTCAGTAGCCAATATAGAAGTCCAAATTGATTTTGGTTCAGACAAACACAAGGGTGGGTTGATCCAGTTTTAATAGATTAAATAATTAATAAGATAATTACATAATATAGACCAATTAGCCTAATCAAAAAACTATAGGAGACTAATCTCAATTTAGACATGACAAATTTTTCCAAATAAATTGTCAAGTTTTAATAGATCAAGTTTATAGATTAATAATTGTTAAAAATATACTTAATATAGACCAATTAGCCTAATCTAAAACTATAGGAGACTAATCTCAATTTAGACATGCTTCTCACTTCTCATAAGCATATGTAATTATTTGAATATTACTCAATGTTCATAGGCTCAAAATGTGGTCTACTTAAAAAAATATTAGGAGCCATTTTATTGTTTTATATTATTTCATACCAATTAGTAGACTATAATTTTAATTACTTATAGAAGCACGAACACTTCAAAATAGGCCCTTTGCGGTGTCAGACACTGAGACACGCCAAATGGTGTGTCCTTTTAGTTTTAGTTTATTTTTTTGAAGGGGACACAACTAGGACACGGCAGGAACACGCCAAATGGAGTGTTCCTTCATTTTATTTTTTTTATTTTATTTTTTTTTTTTTCTCAGGAAACACAGCAGGGACACACGTGATAAAAACTATTAATTTATTTAATGTAGTGGTTTATATATATATTGAATTAATGTTAGCTTTTATTAATTTTGATTATTTGGTAACATAATATTAATCTACATAGAAAATATATATATATAAAAATAATAATAATTTGTCGTGTCCCCTGCCATGTTCTTGTCCCTTTTTTTTGAAAATCACCGTGGTCCCGTGTCTGTGTCCGTGTTCGTGTTTGTATCCGTATCCTATCTGTATCCATGTCCGTGCTTCATAGCTTAAAAAAGTAGACAAATTTCTTGTTTACTAGAAGTTTTTTAATATGTGATCACCAATGAACATTAAACAAAGGCCAAAACAATTTTTTTTATGTCATTACATAAGACATTAAGTTAAACTGAGAAACATCTTTCAACAAGTTTTTTTTTTTTTTTTTTAAAAAAAAAAAATATTAGGGATGCCAAATTTAAAATGGTGGCCAATTATAAGATACAATTATTTTTGGAAGGTTGCACACTCCACCACCCCTTGACAAACATACACATTCTCAACCCCAAACACTATAATTGTTGGGATCAAGGGGAAGACAAAAATAAAATGTGGGACCATTGGGGAGGTGGATGAAATAGGTATCATCCAACTTCAAGGTGGGAATTTGCACATAACCTATTAACACAACTCAATCGTACTGGCAATTAGAGGTTAGGGTTAATCATTTTTTGACTCGAATCGGAATATGACACAACCCCAAACACGAATATTAAATGAGTCGTGTTTGGGTTAAATTTCGTGTCCAACATGTTGACA